AAAAATTCATCATCGAGCCGTGCATGAATAGGGCCATTCCCGAGGGAACGGCATGTGAGATTCTCGTGCCAGGTAGGATCAGGATGTTGCGTGGTGGCGGTGCGCTGTGGCGGAGGGGCACTGATTGGGGTTCCTCCTCTTCCTCCTCTTCCTCCTGCCTCCTTCCTTGTCCTCCCTCCCCCTCCTCCTTTGTCAAAGCCTTCCCCTCCTCGTCCTCCAATCCCTTATCCTCCTCGTTCTGCCGTGCCCAAGTCGTCCTTTTCACAGCGGGGGGGGACGCTTTCTGAGTCGACATTCTGAGGGACGTCCGCATTATGTGTCAATGACTGTTGACGCGCACGCATGTTGTCCGCGGACATGTTTAGGTACACGCACGTTTTCGCCGCAATCGTGACAGGTTTTGATATGAAGGCAGCTCTCGCGAAAATCCGACGACCCATGCCCAAAACCCAAGCTTGATATAGCCAAAATCATACTGCATAGTACTTCCGCTAACCTAGTTAGCCGCGCCCGCCCTGAGTAGGTTTGCCCTTGTAGTTAACCTAGTACTACCAAGATCCTAATGTACTTGTTAGGTGGTAACTCATCATCCTTATATCTTGATTACCTGAAATGCCTGAGGTTTTAGCAATATGGTTGATCTGACCTAGTGGCTCAGGAACCACCATGAGCATCCAAGTGGTGGACCGGCGGACTTGTGGAACGCAGGACTGGTGGTGGACCGGAAGATTGGCGGTGGACCAGCGGACTGGTGGACCGGTGAACCGGTGGACCCGTGGTGGTTTACAGGTGGACCGGCACAGACCAGTTGATCGACTGGTGGACCGGTAGACCGGCGGACCGGTGGACTGGTGGACCGGCAGTTGCGGACCGGCGTACCCGGTGGATCGGTGGACCTGGCGGACTGGTGGACCGGCGGACTGGTGGAGCAGTGGATCGGTGGACCAGTGGGCGTTTTCAGGTGGACCGCTGGACCGGTGGACTACCTGCAGACCAGCGGACCAGCGCACCAGTGGACCGGTGTAGGACTGGTGGACCGTGGACCCGTGGACCGGCAGAAAAGCGGACCGGTGTAACCATTTTGGCGTCAGCGGCTGGCGCCGCGAAGGCTACCGAACGTCGAGGCCCTCAGGCGAACTTCAGAAGCGCCCGAGACAGTCAAGAAATCGGGAGCCTGGGGTTCGCAATCAGCATTGCGCGATTCAGCTTTGGGGATTCATTTCGGCCCGAGAGCACCCCACCACATGCCAGGGCCCAGTGGCGGAGCTTACTTTTGAAACTTGCACTTGAGGGGCAGCGAGTCGGAGTGGCACGACGACCGAAAAAGGGACAGGGAAGGTTTGAGGGATACATAGATTAAGGACACTTAGAGTTCACAGGAGGAGGGATGGAAAGAGTAAGCAGGGAGCGGGGAACGAGAGAACGAGAGAGAGAGAGAGTGCGAAAGCGAGAGCGCGCGGGGAGAGACAGAGAGGGAGAGAGAGAGAGAGAGATGTATATGGAGAGTGCGAATGCAAATGCGAAGCGACTGCGACTGCGAATGCGAGAGAGGGGGGGATAACGAAAACGAGAGAGGAGAGAAGAGAGAAGGAAAAGAGATGAAATGAGGAGGAAGGGAGAATATATACATAGAGAGAGAGAGAGATAGAGAGAGAGAGAGAAAGAAACCCGATGCGCGCGCGGCGAGGCGTGGGAGGAGCTCACGGACGAGGAGAAGCGGTCAGTGCCACCGAGAAGGGACCGAGCGGGAATGTTCGTTTTCATCTCTCGGTGCACCCTCTTCTCCAGGCCTACGTATGCGAAGGCGCCCGACCCCCAGAGACTAGGACAGAGAATACAGTGGAGACCCATGGCAAGAAGCACCCTGCTTGCCTCCAGGGTGCCCTGGGTTTCTTTGGTTTCGATGGTCTTGCCGTGGAAAGCGTCACGCTCCCACACCAAGAGTCGATGGACGTCCTGGTGTTTCAGGGTTGGGTTTCTTGTGGAAGGTTTCTTGTGGACTCGCCTCCACTTTCACTAGGACATTGGCAAGTCGGGGAAGCGACACCCTTTCCTGCGAGGTCAGATTGGGCCGTCCGGCGCATGCGCGTTTGTTGCTCTGCAGGATTCGGGTCGTTGTTCGGGTCTAGAGGGTTTGGGTTTGAGGTCTGTGGGGGCTTTCCGTCCGGGCTTATTCCGGAAATATTGCAGTGTTGTTGTTTGTCCGTGCCGCCGTCTGGGAACACATGTTTCCGAGGGATGTTGGATATCCTGGTCTAGCGTGTCTGGGCTTACGGAACCCTGAGCAGTATTTGGAATGATGGTAGTGCGGCGTGGCCGTAGGAACGCAGAGACGTCGGAACTCCTCCTCGAGCGGTTCTCGCGCGAGGTTGTTGCCAGGGTGGGTGGCGTAACTGAGCCCAGCCAGCCCTCGTGAGTTGGGGGCCTGTTTTGGAGAACGGACGTGCGTGGGGAGCGCGGGGCCCGAACCCACGTGACGGGCGCGATTGGACAGTTCGGATCGGGTCGGCTGACAGGGATCGGACGGGCTAGGATTAAGTCGGGGTTGTACAGGAGAAATATTAAAAAAGAATCCAAATATAGTCTGGGGATGATGATTATTATTGTTATTATTATTGTTCGACCATGTTTCATTATTTATGACTATTTGAATTTTTCCTCCAAGGGGGACATGCCCGACCTAAGGCTAGGACGAATATTGATCTGTTCCAGAGCGTTCTGGGACGATCTCGGAGCGTTCAGGAACGCTCAGAGAAGGCGCGGCGCCCGAGACATTTTCCAGAGCCGCCGGATCTCAGAGATTTTCGATGTGTCCTCACCAGATGTGATTCTCGTCCTCGCTTCGTCTTGGGGTGATGGTGTTCCAGCCTACTTCGGCTTTGATCTTTTGAGCACCAGGAAAGTGCCGAAACCAGAGGGTTTTCGTGTGTGTGTGGCACCGGGAGGCGATACTCGTTCGACACTTCGCTAGCGTGTCAAGCAGACACTGTTTCGATACGTTGCTGGGTGCTCGAAAGTATCTCTAGGATGTGGTCCTTAAGTACGATGGGAACAACGTAATCTCAAGATTGGGAAAGGGGGGGGGGGGGGGGGGGGGGGTGGGGATAACTGTTTTCAAATCAGCTAGTTGCGGTCTCGCTGGCAAGCGCATTTCTCGGTACACGGCCGCCTCTCGCCCCCGTCGCCAGGAGGCGCCGGGGATCCTGAGCTGATTTGCTATCCCCCCCCTTTGTCTCAGGAGGGAAAGGTCGACACAATCGGCGGCGAGCCCATGAGGGAAGAAAAAACGCCATAAACATAAACATTTGGCGCTCAGCGCAAAAAGTTCCCCAATCATCAGAGCTTGCCTCTGTAGGGGTCCTAGCGGATTCATATGGTCAGGTTAGGTTTGCCGCCGATTTTCGCGGCACGCCCGGGGGCCCGGGGGTCCGGGGGTGCCCGGGTGCCCAGGGGTGCCCGGGGGTGCCCGGGGGTGCCCGGGTGCCCGGGTGCCCGCGGGTGCCCGGGCGTGCCTGGGGGTGCCCTGGTGCCCTGCCTGGGTGCCCGGGCGTGCCCGGGGGTGCCTAGGGGTGCCCAGGGGTGCCCTGTAGCCCTATAGCCCAATAGCTTTATAGTCCTACAACTCTATAGACCTATAGCTCTATAGCCCTATAGCTCAACATTCCCCAGTCAGAGCTTGCCTCTGTAGGGGTCCTAGCGGATTCATATGGTTAGGTTAGGTTTGCCGCCGATTTTCGCGGCACCCTTGGGGGTGCCCGGGGGTGCCCGGGGGTGCCCGGGTGCCCTGGCGTGCCTGGGGGTGCCGTGCCCTGGTGCCCGGGTGCCCGGGCGTGCCCGGGAGTTCCTGGGGGTGCCCGGGGGTGCCCTATAGCCCAATAGCCCTATAGTCTTACAACTCTCTAGACCTGCAGCTCTATAGCCCTATAGCTCAATATTCATATGATTAGGTTAGCTTTGCCGCCGATTTTCGCTGCACGCGCGCCGGGGTTGCCCGGATGCCCGGGGGTGCTCGCGGGTGCCCGGGTGCCCTGGTGCCCGGGTGCCCCGGCGTGCCCGGGGGTGCCTGGGGGTGCCCGGGGGTGCCCGGGCGTGCCCTATAGCGCAATAGCCCTATAGCCCTTCAACTCTATCGCCCCATAGCTCTATAGCCCTATAGCTCAATAGCCCTATAGCCCCCTAGCCCTATAACCCTGATTGGGCTTTTCTCCGGTATCATTTATGCTTCTGGATATTCTATCTCAAGAAGGAAAGGTCGACACAATCGGCGGCGAGCCCAGGATGGAAGTGAAAGGGGGCGGGCGTTCTCAGAAGGCTCGGAAGGCCTCGGATCGGAAGGCCTCGGACCTTCCGAGAAGTTTCCTGTGCCTTCTCTGAAGAAACCGCAAGCTTCTCGGAAGGCCGGGGGACTTCTGAGAAGCCCCGCCGCCTTCCGAGAAGGCCTTCTCTTTCTCACTTCCCCCACCTCGCTCGCCGCCAACGCAAGCACAAAAGAACGCATATTGAAGAAGCCCTACGGTTTGGTGCCGACCTGTCGGGGGGCTAAATTGAATCGCGTTGGCCACAAAACATGGCCAACCAAACGAAGAGTTGTCGAACCCAATTCGTTCAATAATCTACCCAGTATCGATAAGAACTTACTCTTGGGGCGGGTTTGGGGAGTTTTGGCGGTTGTTCGGGAGTTTCGGCCGATTCTTGGTCGAACATGTCGTCAACATGGCCGCAAGGCGGGTCCCAACATGAAGCCAACATGGCATTGAAATCGTTTCAAAAACCTCTGGTGGATTTCGGTGGGCTTGGTGACCCAAGCTGGGAGGACAACTTATCGAACATCGATCCAGAAGGCACCCAACTTATAAAGAAAGATGGGCTCCCGGGTGAAAGGGCCCTCACGGCAAAATGGTAAACAATAAAGCACGAAGATGATGGCTGGTTTTCCTCGGGCGTCATACATTACATTAAACCATTGGCGCGACAGCGTCTGAGTAATACCCTTGGCAAAGTCACTGCGGCTCTGGCACGCACTCGCGGGCGAAGGAGCAGAATGGGACGAAGAAGGTGTGGCCGTAGTCGAGCGCCTGGGTGGCCGCCAGTTTCCGCCACTGCAGCTCGGCGAACAGGTCGCGCCACTTCTGCCGATCGGAGTGGCTCGGCATCCGCCCGCCGCACCTGCGGCGGACCCACCGCTTCACCACGGACCACACGGACTCAATCCCGTTAGTGGTGAAACCGCGGGGAGACTCTGATCTCCCCCGTGGAGTGCACCACCAGCTCGTGCTTGATGTCACTCGCAGTCCACCCATTGCTGTCCTTGAACGCCTTGAACGCGGACACCATGGCCTTCCAAGAGTCGCTTACCAGGATGGTCTTTTTGCGCATGCCAATCAGGTGGAGGTTGGTCAGCATCTCCTTGAGCCCGCGGGGCTGTCCATCGAAGGCGTCGTTCGGATGGTCCAGGATGCGGAATTACACCGTTGCGCCCCGAAACCAGACCTGTTGTTTTGTGTGCGGGCGGGCTGCCCTCTGGAGAGCGCCAGGTTTCTTCTTGTCGAGGTGCACCTCGTCCAATTGCACCGCGAGCTTGGATTTGGATCCGCTTGCCTGTTTGGTCAGCGCGGTGCCAGCCTTCTTCCAGCATGCCGCCGCCTTCGCAGCAAGATGGCTTCTCTTCTTGGCGAGCGAGTTCTTGCAGCGGGCATTGACCGCCGCCGCGCCCGTCGGCCCCTTGTTCGCGTTCGGCCGAGATCCAGATTTAGACATTATGCAGTTGAGCGCCTGAACCACTTTACCCTGGAAGAGGATCGCACGGCACGGCTCGCTGCATCAGCTGGCGGGGGTAATCCACGACCCACAGGGCCATCACGTCGAAGGACTTGTCCAACGACGATCCTTGGGCGCCCTATACATCGAGCCAGCAGTCATAGATGCATGGCTCTTCTGCGTGCACAACGAGCACCCATCGCCGCAATCGCAACCGCGCCACGCCCAGTTGCTCTTGTCCTGGCGGCAAACAGGTTTGCAGCTGTCGCCGCATCACCTGGGGCAATCGCACGACGCTGGCAGGGAGTCATGGTCCGCGCGAAGATGGGGATTCGCAGCGACGAGCCGTTGCCCACGGCACCCGCGTCGTTGACCATCGCGCACCTGGCGCCCCGCAAGTATCCCCCCCTGCAATTAAAACCGGGATCCATCAGCGTGGCGCAGTGCCCCTTCAAGTTCTTGCGCCCCGCCATTCCGACCCCTCGCCGGGCGCGTTGCTGGCCCCCCCGCGGCAGCAGGCGGTTCGCCCCGCGCGCGGGAACTCCCCGGGGCCCAAATAATTCCGGCACGCGTGCGGCGCGGACAGCGGCGGCCCCGCTCGCAACGGCGACCCGCGCGGCGAAAGCCAGCGACTGGGCGACGCGCGAGGGGCGGGGGGGGAGGGCGACGGCGAAGGCGGAAACGTTGTCAATCAATCGGATGAAGGCACAGCGGCATGGCGCTCGCACGGGGACCCCCCTTCCCCCGCATCGCCCAAGCCCCGACTCGAAAAAAGTAACCGCGCGGCGCGCGCGCGCGCATCCCAGGGCGCGCGCGCGCGCCAAGAAGAGACCGATCTGTGGAAGGCCACGCAGCTCGCGCTTGAATCCGCCGCGCTGCCCCCCCCGGCGCTCGGCGCGCCCCTCGTCGAGGCGGTGACCGAGCTCGGCCCCCGCGCCGAAGTCGCCGTCGGCATCCGCGCCGCGGCGTTGGCGGGGAGGCGCAGCGCTGTCAATCTGCGCGCCGGCGCCCTTCTGGTTCTTCTGGAGGAAACCCCGCTGCATCGCCGCGTAGAGGACCTTCTGCTCGCCAGCGCCCACCTGGCCGAGGTCGCCACCGCGCCCCGCGAGGTTCTGGGCCCCCGTCGCCATGCGCTTGCGAGGAGGCGACATCAGGCCCACCAGCCCCCCGCCGACCATCGCGCCCAACTGCCAGAAGTCCTGCTGGATTGCGTCGTAGAGCGCCCGCTGATCGCCCGCGCCCGCGCCGTCGAGCAGGCCCGCGCGCCCCCCGCCAGCGGCGACAACTACACCTGGGAGGCCGAATGAGCAACGCGCAGCGGCGCCCATCAAGCGCCCGCCCCACTCGCCGCAGCCCCTTCCCGGCGAGGACGGCGCAGGAGCAGCGGGGAAAAGGGGCCCGCGCCCGCGGCGATCGGCACGAGCGGCTCGCCCTTGTTCTGCAAGAGGCGCCGCATGTAGTTCATCGGTCATTCGACGCCCCCTCGAAATAATCGGCGTGGACATGCTTGGTTTTTTTGTGCACTTGCCGGCCGCCCCTTTGAATTTTTGCACGGTCGGAGAAGTCCGCCTCGTTCGGGCGGGCGCGGGCCCGCCAGGGCGCGCGGCAACCGCTCGTTCGCGACCATCGCGAAATGCGCCCGCGCCGCGACGGCCAGCGCGCCCGCCCTCCTTCGCTCGCCGAAAGGGTGGCCTTATCAGCCGAATGAAATCGGCGCTGATCACGTCCTTCGGCGCGCCCTCCTTCCACTGGGGGGCGAGCTCGGCCCCGAACCCCTTGTCGCACGCGTCGTTGCGGACTTGGCAGGGGGGGGGCTAGCGCCGCGCTCGGGCGACCCCCACCGAGCCCAGATCGCAGCGTCTTCCTCGCCGGGATTCAGGAAGACCTTGCGGATAGACGCCGATTGTTCCGAAAATGTGCCATCGTCGGACATGGCGGGCCGAAGTCGGATTAGAGGCTCAGCCGCGAAGAAGTCGAAGCGACTTGCAGTCACGATCGCCGGGGCAAGCTCGCCCGCGTCGTCTTCTCCAGGCTGCCCCGTCGCCTCGATCTCCGCGCGGCCCATCATGAACGCGCGGGTCTTCGATCCAGCGCACTTTCCGACGCGCGTCTCGCCGGTCCACGACGCGCCGATTGCCTCGCGGCTGGGGGACAGGATGGGCTTGATCACGTCGCTGAGGAACCAAGGGTCGAAGTCGCGAAGCGTCAGGGCGCAGGTCGCGAGGCCCCCGCGTTTGTCTTGCCCTTCACGCTGTTGTTCAGGGCTATCTCTCGGCGACCCCCCTCCATCCGAAGATCGGGGATTTGGGGCGAGTGCTCTCCCGATTCGCGAGCTCCATGCGCTGGTTCGCATTGTTGGCGCGCGGTCCCTTCTCACGCATGCACGCGCACCCCGCGGCCTCGAGCGACCACTCGGCCGACTTCTTGGGGGGCCCCTTGCCAGGCTTCGCGACCGCTGCGTGGCAGCGCGGCCGGTGGCCCTCCAGCTTCTCCGGCATCCGCCGCACGGCCAGGCGCCCAATCCTAAACTGGTCGCCGCGGCGCCATATCAGGCCAGCGCCGCGACACAGTTGCAGGCGCGCCCCAGGAAGTTCACGTCCATCAAGATGTCGCGCTTGCCGTTGGCCTTGTTGACGACGACCACCTGCATGGAATCCTGGCCAGTCGGCCACTTCTTCAGGGAGAAGAGCTCGGTTTCGCCATTGAAGCCGCACGTCTCCGCGCAGTCGCGGAGGGCCCCCCAAGGCGCGTCGCCGTCGCAGTCGCCCAGGTAATCTGCGAAGTTCTGGATCATCTTGCCGCATTCCATCGCAAACTGCGCTGGTAGATCGGCGATTTGGCATTATCCTGCCGACTCCACCTTGCCAGAGTTGATGCACGGGCGGTCGTTCATCTTCTCGTTCCCCGCGTGGTGCAGCGCTTCGCCGAACGCGAAGTTGCGCGCGTAGCCGGCGAGGCCGAGGGCCGTTCCAAAATTCTGCGGCAGCGCCACCGCACCAGAGCCCCAAGCGGCTCCCAGGAGAGACCCACGGGGGCCACAGGAGGTTCCAAAGAGACGCCCAAGAGCGCCCCTAGCTGGCCTGAGCCCCTCAAGACGGTCCAGCAGGGCCCTGGGACGGCTCGAGAGGGCCCCAAAACGGGCCAAGAGGGCCCGAAAACGCACGAGGCCTCCAAGATGCCTCCCAGAGCCTCCCCAGCGGCCCCCCAAGACCGTCAATGATACAAGTTCAGGAGCGAACGGTGATACAAAAAGCTCGGATCTTCTCTGTTGCCAACAACCTCCTCCGAGTCGCCCCAATCATCTCTCTCCGCTGCCGGCTGCCTCCCTCGCCCGCGTCTTGCATCCCTGCTACAGCCTCCAGCAAGTAGTTCGCCCGCCGGCTATAAAACATCTAAAGTACCCATTCCCAGTTGATTCACCCCGTCCTTGTATCGTTCGTAAACGCGCTCTCTCAGTCTTCCTCTCTCCTCTTTCCCCTTTTCTCCCCTCGTGCGCTCTCCTCTTTACGGTGGCCGTCTTAACGCGCCTCGCCTTCCAGGTTGCTCCAAAACTCATGCATGATGATCCCTATGTCAAAACCGCTGCCGCGCAAACGGCCGCCAAACCCTCGTGGCCATGCTCTAACGTCCGCTCTATAGAAGCGTTATTTCCGTTCCGGTGCCAGCCCAGGTTCTAATACGCCCACTCCGTGCAGGCACGGTGGAAGATAAACACTTCCTTGTCTCACCTTCTGGCGCGAACGCTCGTCTTTTGAAGTTTGTAATAGCCTCAAGGGTTGAGGGTGGGCGTTCAAAAGGTGGAGTTCTCACCTGCGCCGCGCACATTCGTCTCAAAAGCCTGCAACAGCTTCAAGATGGAGAAAGGGGGTCGTTTCCAATATGTTGCTATCTCGCCTCAGCGCGGCGCACATGTGTTTTCAAAGGTTGCAACAGCTTCGAGGACGGCGGGCAGCTCCTTTCCAAAATGCGGCTCTCGCCGCAGCGCCCCGCACATTAGTTGCTAAATCATGCAACAGCTTCCAAGGCTGGATGGAGATCGTGTTCGACATGTCGTTATCGTTTGCGCACCGCGCACTTACATATTCACAGTGTCCAGTAGCGTGGAGGATGGAATGCGGATCCTTTGCAATGTGGCGTTGTCGCCTTGGCACCGCGCACTGTCGTCTCAAAATCTTGCGAAACAGTTCCAGGAGTTGAGCATCGGCCGTGTTCACATTGAGGCTCTCGCCTCAGCGCCGCGCGCATCCGTTTTCCGAGTGCAACATTTACGGATGGAGGGTTGTTCTTGTTGCCCCAAGCATTGCTTTGATGTATGGGGTTACCGCGTGCGCTCCTTAGACAAGTGGACGGGTCCGCCGAGGATGTTGAACATTGACGCCCCGTGCCGCTTCGTGGGCGCTGGTGGGCGCCCCGTGCGTTGGGTGGGTCCGCCGAGGTTGCGCCACGTTGCTGCCTCGCGGCGCCCCGTGCGCTGGGTGGGTCCGCTAAGGTCGCGTCGCGTTGTTGCCCGTGCCGCCCCGTGGCTGGTCGTGAGCGCGCCGTGCTTTCTGAGTTTACACCACATAGCTTACACGACATAGCTTGCACGACACATGGCTCACACCCTATAGCGTTCACCCCCAGCTCACGCCATACACATATATACATCAAACGACCTAGCTCACATCACGTATAGCACACAGCATAGTTGCTTCCCCCCTTGCTCACATCACTGGGTTTACACCACATAGCTAACACCATATAGCTAACATCGCATTACTTGCACCTCCGCCGTGCAATGACTCATTTGTTGGGGCCTACGCTGGCGAATTTCAAAAAAGAGATATCGATGGAAATATCAGCAATATTCAAAGACTGGACACTTCAACGCATGTAGCACTCCACGGATCCAGGGCGGCTCTTTTTCAAAAGTGAGTTCTCGTTTGGAAATTCCTCGAAGCTCATGGCCACAAGTCTTCGTTTGTCAAACAGTTGCACGGATGGGGGGCGGTCCGTCTTCGAAAGGGGATCTCGTTGGACACCTCGCCGAATTCCAGAATCATAGTCTCTCGCGTAGCC